CCTCACTGGATTCCTCCACCAGGACACCCTCACTTCCCCTCCCTTGTTAAATAAACCTTTTCCTTTAACGTTTTCTCCTGTCTCCCTTTTTCGTTGGGTCCGCCCGCATTGATTCGAAGACTCGGGTCGTCACACTTAACTCTCTATGCATGAATCTTTTTTTTGACTTGGCTACAATTGACTCAATAACTAGATATTTTCTTTGAACATGGCAAACCAAAGGTTTCTCTTATTAGGTTAAAATGAAAATATATGTGAAAACCTTGACCTGCTGGTGGAGTTAGAGGAAATGTCAGGGATCAACTCACATTTGTCCTCTGGGAACTATGAAACTGTGCCAAAGTCCTTTGTAAGGCATCAAAAGTTTGAGATATTTTAGGATTGAACAAGGTGATAGACTGGCCAACCAACACAGCCATTCACACTGCATGTTTACTCACCTATCTAGAAAGAGGATATAATGAGCTTCTATGTACAATTTATTTATAGTACATTTTGTAGTTTCTTATGGACAGTCAAATAAGCTGAACAGGATTTACTTTTTTTTTTAAATTTCAGAGCAGAGTTTTACCATCTAATCTTGTTCACTTTCAGATTTCCCCCCCCAATGAGAAAAAAAGATGCAATATCAGTTTATACAAAATAAAAATAAATAAATACTGAATTGGTAAAACAAACAAACAAACAAAAAGGTCAGACTTAGGCTGATACAATGCCATCTATACAAAGTTTTACACTTACTGTTTACTGTCGAAAAAAAATCATATTTTTATTCTGTGTTACCTACGTGAATAACAAATGGTTTCTTCAAGTTGAGACTGAAAACTCTGCTGCATTCATCCATCGATTATCCATACACTGCTTAATCCTCACTATAGTCGCGGGGGGGGGGGCTGGAGCCTATCCCAGCCGACTTAGGGTGAAGGTAGGGGACACCCTGGACAGGTCGCCAGTCTATCATAGGACTGCACTTAGAGACAGACAACCAAGCACACTCACATTCACACCTACAGACAATTTAGAATCACCAATTAACCTCAGCATGTTTTTGGACTGTGTGGGAGGAAGCCGGAGAACCGGGAGAGAACCCATGCTGCACGGGGAGAACATGCAAACTCCACGCAGAAAGATTCCGGTGCCCCCACCGGGACGCGAACCGGCAACCTTCTTGCTGCGAGGCAACAGTGCTACCAACTGCGCCACCTTGCAGCCCGGATGGAGAAACAGATTAATGAAAAAATATATACTATAGACTTAGATCAAGCATATTATTTCTAAACACTAAATATAACAAAAATGTATTCAATTTGCTGAGAATATTTTTGTTTATTCAGTTTATTTTTGTTTGCTATAAATGTGACATCTTTGATCACTTGACAACAAGCGCACAAACATTATTTATGTTTCTTTTGTTTTCTTACATGTGTCATATAACGCCCTGAAGACTTAATAAAGAAAAAGTCTAAAATCACAGGGAAAACTTTTGAAGGATTTAAACAGAATAGAAGTGTCCTGCTTTGCCCTGGAGATGATGAAACAGTCCAATGTTCAACAAAGGGGACTTTAGCATACAGGGTGTGTTCATATACTGCGCTTCTTATGCTGTGTGTGTTTAAGTGCTGACTGACCAACAGAGCCAGGGGGATGACCAGCAAGAGGTGTATCCAAAGACCTCTGCCTCTTCTCTCTGTCTTTGTCTTTATCTCTATCTCGGTCTCTGCGATGGTGACAGCGATGGTGGTGGTGATGGTGGTGAGGGCGTTCCTTGCTTGGTTTCTCCAGTGTGCAGTCCCTCAAGTTGACCTCCTGGGGCCGCTGTGGGGCCACAGTGGAGGCTGAGCGCTTCATCGGACTGGCATCAGGGACAGACTGAGGAAAGAAATGAATAAGAGCAGAAACAGATTGACTTGAACATGTTTTAGCATGGGGCTGCATAGTGGAGCAGTGGTTATCACTGTCGCCTCACAACTAGAAGGTCCTGGGTTTGAATCTCACCATGGTGTCTTTCTGTGTGGAGTTTTCATGTTCTCCCTGTGCCTGCATGGGTTTTCACCCGTTGTTCCAGCTTTCCTCCCACAGTCTAAAGACATGCTGAGTTTAATTGGAGTTCCTAAATTGTGTGTAAGTGTGAATGTGAGTTTGCTTGGTTGTCTGTCTCTAAGTGTAGCCCTGTGATAAACTGGTGATCTGTCCAGGGTGCCCCCTGTCTTCACCCTGAGTCAGCTGGGATAGACTCTAGCCCACCCCCCACCCCTCTCCCCCCACGACCCTAGTAAGGAAGACTAATGGATGGATGGGTGTAGGAATGAATGTGCATGGCTTGGTTGTTTGTCTCTCTGTGGGGCTCTGTGATGGACTGACAACCTGTCCAGGGTATACTCTGCCTTCACAGTCAGCCGGGATAGGATCCAGTAAAAGATCTTTTGGTAAATTTGCTTACTGAAAACATTTTGGTCCTTATCTAACTGCATAGTATTAGTATAGTAACAAGGAATAAACTATGAGGAAAAGTATAACCAAATATAAAGTCTTGTGAGGCATTTTTTTTGTTTTGGTTTTTGATATATCTGTTGCAATTTGTAAAACTTTTTTGTTGTTGATATTTTTTATTGTATTTGATGGAAATGGTGGCGGGGCTCAGCAGGGGATGCATCCTACATACCATAGCATGGACTCTGAGACAGGTTACTAGGGAAAGGACTCAGCTTTGATGCGTGGTGCACACCCTTCCAGGTGAGCTACTGGGGGGCCTGCTCTCCATCTATGTTTGATGTGGACCACGGCAGTAGCTACACCTGAGGGCAGGTTCTTTGTAGTGTCAGGTCATTCCATAATTGTTTACATATAGCACATGTATTTTTTTTTTAATGTTTGATGTGCTACATTAAATGGTATAAAGGGATTTATCCAGAATCACACACCTGGTCAAACATTTCTTTGACTCAAATACTGAAATGAAATACTTGCTTGCCATACACTATGAATCTGTATGTGTTTTTTGACTGAATAATACTATGGCTTAACTACACACATGCAGTGCAGTTTTATGAAATTGTGATTTTGGGATGTTACACAGATGGGCTTTAAGGTGTGGTGTCCTACACTAATTTGGCTCATGCATGGTGACATCGAGCCATGTGAATCCATCAGATCATTTACATTACCAAGAAGCATCACAATGACAGCAGATCTGGATTTGATTCTTCAGTATTGGTGCTGTGGATATAAGAATCTGCCAGGCTGGTCCAGGTAATTCCTTACAATGTCAAACTACAAACAAGGATATAATGTATGATGTGTTGCTGCATGTACATACAGCCAGATGGATCCCTGGAAAGTGGCGTGAGTGGCTCCGCTGTGATGCAGGAGAGGAACAGAAACAAAGAACAGCAGAGATCAGGAATATTAAGCAAGATCAGCAACAGCTACAGTGTTAGCTACAGAAATGATACGGTCTAGTTGAATGCTGATATTCAGTGTGTGTAGAAAGGTAGTAAAGTGAGCACTGCTGCAATTTTATAGCAGAAAAATTCAGAAGAAATCAAAGCACCTCTAAAATCCTGCACCAACTATTGGAATTACAGTGAATGGTGAATTATAAAGGTGCTGATGATGGAGAATCTCCATGTACAGACTCTCCTCATAACAAGCATTTGTTTTAAACACTTCTTGTGATTGTGGTAATATTAAATATATTAAATCCTTGATAAGTAAAGAGCTGTAGGGGCTGCTAAATCTAACTTTGCAGTCTAATATAATACAGCTGCCATCAGAATTATTCAACCTCCAAGACATTACAGTGATGCTAATAAAGTGCAATGAAAATCTATTACCTGCAGCCTCAGTTAACAGTCAAACAAAATGTAATATTGCATATTTCAGTAATTTTTCAGAACATAATGTTGACCTTATATTATAGGACTAAATACACAGAAGCAAAAATATTTAGCACAAAAAGCACATTTTTCTTGATAATATTCTTTCATCGTAATAACCTGAATTAAATGTTTCTAACCCTTGTGGTGCACTGAGACCTGTCCAGGGCATACCCCACTTGTCCCCCAATGTCAGCTGGGACAGGCTGCAGCCTAATGCAGCCTACTACAGTGGGTATATACCATGGAGGGTTTGGATGGATTAAATATTACTAATTTCACATAAGCTTTCATCACCTCTATTTGGAATTTCATGTTTCCATGCTACCTGTGCTGTCTTAATAGCCCATCAAAAATTTTCAATGGGATTCAAATCCGGGGATTCAGATGGCCCCTCAGATGTTCCAGAAACAATTCTTGAACCAAGTTTTGGTTCACTTGAATATCATCTGACTCTAAAGCTTAGTGATTACCAAGCTTCAATTTATGCAGCTTATTTAGGCGTCACATTCTTCATAAAACTTTCTGGTAATTTAAATCATTCTCTGCCACTGTTAAATTAGTCCACTCATTATAATCTTAAGTTGAATCCTATGCTGTGTATTACACACTTCACCTGCTGCAAGTCAGACAAAATGAGGCACTGCAGAATGTAAAAGACAATTTTTTTCAAGTGTCTGCCCAGCATTCAGTCAATATGCTTCTTTCAGCATTCACTCTGTGACGCTCACAGACATTTCTGAGAACATATCAGCCCCAGTTCCTTCTGTTCTTGCTTGCCAGGGTTGTTATCCGGAGAGGGGCCAACAAGAGCAAAGTAAAATGGGTCTCTGTACATGCTCTATTAAAAGATGTGATGAAACTTCAAAATCCAGATTTATTGCTCCATATCAGCTGGGTTAAAAGAACTAAGTGTGGCCTTTGTAGGAGGCCAGACTGAGTCACTTGCTGAGGCTCCCTGTGTCACTGAAGCACAAAGAAGGACCTTAAAGCGGAAAACAGGTCTTCAAAGATGGTCTCACGATCCTACAAAAAATGAGCTCAAATTAAGGAGGAGAAAAGCACCCTCGTGAGAATGAACGATAAAGCGCTGCACCTGTGGATTGGAGGTACCAGATTTCAGCCTGTACCGTATAATACCCATTGTACATCAGCAGCATTAGGGAATTTCCTAAAAGGCAACATAAATTAAACTGACTAAAGGATTTCTTCCCCTTTTTTCAAAAGGTGAGAAAAATAAGATAGCAAGTCAACAAGGTAGCCTTCCACCCCTATTCCTTCAACATCCTTTGATTATTCCCCCACTCCAGATTCTCTCTCTTTCTCAGTAACCCAATCACTGTCTTCTTCTATGAATCTTGGGCCATCTTCATAGAAATTTGGAGTCAATATCAACTTTTCGCTTGGCAGAAGAAAAAAAACAAACAAAAAACAATATTGGACAAACAGCTGGCAGCCAGACACAGTCTAATCAGATTATTGTAGATTTCTCCTCTGCTGAACAGGCAGACTAAGGGCTGTCAGAGGAATGTACTTTAAATGCATGAATCGATCAACATTAACATCACTCTGGCAATGAGGTGCTTCTTATATAATACAGATCTGGTGAAAGATTCCTTTTTTCTAATATGACTCATACGTTTTGAGCTGTGACTATTCAACCCAGTCTCATGGTAATTCGTGAAACAATCACAAAACGTAACTATTTCGTGTCCTGGAACATGATTTGCCTGACTTTTTCGTGTTCCCCAGCACGAAATTCAAACCAATACATTTCAACTGAAATTATCTTTCGTGTCTGGGACATGTTTTTTTCCTCATTAGACAGCGCATATACTGTGATGTTTGTGTCTCAGTTTTTTCTGAATTTAAATGAAGGAAATTACAGGTCATCCAGGCCTTTATGCCCTTCAGACATGCCTGGAGTCTGACCAACTGATTGGTTTCATTTGGCCTTATAGATAAATATAACAGGGAGTCGTCTGCATAACAATGGAAATGTATGCAGTGCTTCCTAATGATATTGCCTAGGGGGAGCATGTACAAAGTAAATAACATTGGTCCTGACACAGAGCCCTGTGGAACTCTATAATTAACTGGTGTGAGTGGAAGAAACATCATTAACATGAACAAACTGCAATCTGTCAAATAAACACGATTTAAACCAATTTTGTGCAGTTCCTTCAAGCCCAATTAAACATTCCAGTCTCTGTAATAAGATGCTGTGATCCACTGTATCAAATGCAGATGCAAAGTGTAAAATGCATTATCAGAAGATTTGAAAAGCTCAAACAGACAACACAAAATCCCAATAAGTAGACCACAACATATTGGCTTTGTGGAGTAGCATACATCTTTGACTTTTACTTATCTTCTATGCACAGAAGGCGTAGCATAAACAGCATGTTTGCTGAGCAGCAGTGCCTCTACACTTGCCTACAACCAATGCATTCAGCTGTATTCTCAGTTTACATACATTTTGGCAGAAGTCAGAGTCCAATATACATTTAGAAAATGTCTGAAGAAATTATTGAGTGTACCAATTGTGATGACCCCTGAGGTCATCTTGTATCTTGGTGGGTGGTTCTAGTTCGTATATTGGTTCTGTGAGTGGCTGTTTGAGGTAATCAGGAGCACCTGTGACACCCAGTGTGTTCCTGGATTACTTAAGGACTGACTGCAGTCTCATCTCTCTCTGCTCTGCTTCCCTTTGCAGGTATTGCATCGGTCTGGTCATGGGTTAGTTTTCTTTGTTTAGGACATTTGCATTTACAACACTTGCACAGACATAATTCATGCATACATCATGCACACACACCACTGACGCTATGTATTCTCACAACCCCATATTGGTTTGGTTTTTAATTTGATATAATTTAAGGGAATAATGATAAGCTTTAATTTTTGAAACTTGGTGTGTCTCTCCTTTTGTTGCGGCCGTCTTGAGCCAGGTTGTAACACAACTCAGTGTCCACTGGTTTATATGTCTTTCTATAATTAGAAAGAATGTATAATTTATATAAGTACATTCGATTTTGAAAAGCCAGCATGTTTCAGAGTCCCTAGTAAGCCTTTTGTAACATTTCAGAACTTTTATTTTGATAGTGTAGAGTACCTTGATGCATTGGTGGAGTCGTGTTCCTTTTAAAAGAAAAAAACGACAGAAGCAAACAGAGTGGGGCAGACTAAGGATTAGTCCCTTGAACAAATGGTCCAACCCAGTCTCACAGCAATTCGGGAAATAGTCACAAAACTAAATCTATTGTTTCGTGTCCTGGAACACGATTTGCCCGACTTTTTCAAGTTCCCCAGCGCGAAATTCAAACCAATACATTTCAATTGTAATCATCTTTCATGTCTGGGACACGTTTTTTTCCTCATTCCACATTAACCAGTTTTAGTGTTATGGCCTGTCCACACTAATAACTATAGAGATCACTATAAAGCTGTGTGCACCCACACAACGTTAATATTCTGTACATATCGGCGCTGCTATAAACTCTATTCATCCAAATAGAAAAGACAAAAAATATATCCAGGCAGAGAGAAGCTGTTCTGAGATCGCTCTAAAAGTGATCCCAACGATATTGCTCATAGCTGTTATCGTTTATTTGTGGTAAAATATAAGTGCTTTTACTGTGTTTGGGCTACATGCTCGTCACTACTTTCATTTCTCTGTAAACGAATACAACTCTGAAAAGGACACATGCAGGAAAACGTGGACCGGAACATGTACTGTGATTGCAATAATGAATAATCTGACAATTGTTATTGAGAGGGCAGTGGTGGGGAATGTATCTGTAGCTTTGTGAAGCTTTTAGCTAGCTCGTCAAGGCTGGCTACATTAGCTACTAGCCTAGCCTAGCTGCTGCTGCTTCTTCTATTGATTTGGCGGTTGGTATCCAACAGTAAGATGCATTACCACCACCTACTGTACACACAAAAACATTACAGACTGTGTAGGACGGATTTCTTCCAGGTCTCCGGCGAGGCTGCACGCTGACGCTAACAGGGTTGCCTGTCTGCCCCACTCTGTGTTTGCTTCTCTGTTGTTTTTTTCTTTTAAAAAGAACACGACTCCACCAATGCATCTACACTATCAAAATAAAAGTTCTGAAATGTTACAAAAAGCTTACCAGGGACTCTGAAACATGCTGGCTTTTCAAAATCTAATGTACTTATATAAATTATACATTCTTTCTAATTGTAGAAAGACATATCAACCAGTGGACACTGAATTGGTACACTCAATAATGTCTTCAGACATTTTCTAAATGTATATTGGACTCTGACTTCTGCCAAAATGTATGTAAACTGAGAATACAGCTGAATGCATTGGTTGTAGGCAAGTGTAGAGGCACTGCTGCTCAGCAAACATGCTGTTTATGCTACGCCTTCTGTGCATAGAAGGTAAGTAAAAGTCAAAGATGTATGCTACTCCACAAAGCCAATATGTTGTGGTCTACTTATTGGGATTTTG